CTCCTCACCATGTTGAGACCTTTTCCTCCAGTTTAAACGAACCCTCGTGCTACCGTAACTCCATAAAAGCTTGTGGCAAGAAAGGAGAAAGGCGTCGGCAATGATTGACGAAACAAGCAGAATGCCCCACCATGCCAAACTGCGCTGAGAGTGGTCCTGAAAAAGTTGATGCGCTTCTGAAGACCAGCAAAACCTTTAAAGGAACGGTCCATGATGACCTATGAAAATGCAAGTGGTCATGTGGGAAGGTAGTGCGGTCCGGATTGTACAACCCTGTGCCAGTTTCGCGGCAGAAAGTTGAACGGTAAAGGAATTAAGACGCAATATCGCTTAGTGGTACATCCCATTCCGCAGTGACTCCGCCCCAGGCTCCGCCTCCATAGTCGCCCTTCCCAAAAGTAGTGCTCTCGGGAAAGTTTCATGGAGTGGATGCATGCAGTGTCTTTTATAGTCATAAGGTTCGTTCATGGGATTCAGCCGACGGGAACCTTTCCAGCGCACAGTCTTTTGGGTCATGCACTTCTACAGTTGTTTGAGGCTAGAAGAGGCTGGTGAATGCGTTTCCAACGTTCCCTTTGGCATTCTCTCATCATAGACGGTTCACTTAGCGAATTTTCTTCCACATTTCTGCAGCATCACCCAGGCGCTTTATCGCGGACCGTGCCTTTAAATAAAAATTTATCATCATTGGCGCCTCGACCTAGTAACTCCGCGTAACCAAATAGTAATGGAAACAGTATGAATGTTTTCCAATGTTTTCATGATTAGTTATTCTCGTTCACTGAGAAAATTCGTAACAAAATCACGATGCAACAATGTGACTTTCCTCTTTGAGCATGTTTCTTCTCTAGGAAGTCAAGGCGAGCGCAAACCTGGAAAGTGTGTACCTCTCAGCAGAGGAGTATGTTAAGACGACTAAAATATCACACCAGATGGCAACATCAAGTTTTGACACAGTCGTACCTCCCCTCCCCCCCCATCCCTACGGAAGCATTCTACGGACAAACAGACAAACGTACAAACGTGTAAGCCGACACATCAAGTACGTTACGCACTTCAACGGTGAAGCGAAAGGGAAGGAGACGACGTGCTTTGTAAAATATTAAGTCTATGGAGCCGGTTTTATGGGAAGCCTATGGGGAACGTGGTTGGGTCGGGGTGAGTACACAACTAGGAATTGAAGAACTCATAAAACCATCCAAGCTGTCGCTTCATCTCAAAAATGGACGAAGTTAACACTCCAAAGCATGATAATCAAGAGACTGAATGGCACATTAATGGATTATTTGCGCCACTTGTTCATTTTTTTTGCAGAATGCTCGTCTCCCGGTCAAGAAAAGGGATGATTGTGACAAGTTCCTCTCTCATAGAATAAAAGAGCTCTTCGCTTACGAATTATGTAATAATGATTGGAAAAGGAGGTGATGTATCCAAAGTTGTTCCGCGGCTACCAAATAGTGTAGGAATATTGTCTTTATATAATGGTGGGTCTTCTCCTTCCTCGAATAGTATTAGGTTGGCTAATAAGTAATGGCCGTTTTTTCAATTGAAAAATTTGTTCGAAAAGTGAAAGTTTTGCAAGCAAGTTATATATCATCTGATAGGAAACTTCTCGTAGTATAAGAATATCAAAAAAGCTTTGGTTGAGGATATAGTTTTTGTGAATTTTTTAGTCGTTGAAGTTGGAAGTGAAGTCGGCGAAAATTAGCATCTTCGACAACTGCCTCTATTTACGTCTACTCGAAGTGCTAAAATCGCTTAAGCTGCTCCATACATTCGGAAAAGGTTGAGGTAGAAGTCTCAGCAAGGGAATCTCAATAGGACGCTTTGGAACTAATTTCAAGAATTTCAAAGTTGGCAACCTTCACCTTGCCAATATTGGGCAGGCTCACGTCTGTTCCACCTGAAATTTCATGCTAATAGTTGAATTAATTGAATTTGAATTTGATATTCTAATACTACGAGAAGTTTGCTATTAAACGATATTAAGCTTGCTTGCAAAACGTTTTACTTTTGGAACAAATTTTTCGATTGAAAAAAACGGCCATTACTTATTAGCCAGCCCACTGCTAGTGGGCTGGCTAATAACTGCTAGTGGGCTGGCTAATAAGTAATGGCCGTTTTTTTCAATTGAAAAATTTGTTTCAAAAGTGAAAAGTTTTGCAAGCAAGCTTAACATCGTTTAATAGCAAACAATTAATTCAACTATTAGCATGAAATTTCTAAATAGAGGCAGTTGTCGAAGATGCTAATTTTCGCCGACTTCACTTCCAACTTCAACGACTAAAAAATTCACAAAAACTATATCCTCAACCAAAGCTTTTTTGATATTCTTATACTACGAGAAGTTTCCTATCAGATGATATATAACTTGCTTGCAAAACGTTTCACTTTTCGAACAAATTTTTCAATTGAAAAAAACGGCCATTACTTATTAGCCAACCTAATAGAAGGTGTTACTCCTTCCGATAACACACACGTTACCTCTTTTTTATTTCTCACTTTCTTCCTTAGATAATCGAAGAAGTACTTTATACTCATACAAATTAGTGGAAAAATACCACCTGTCACATCGAGTCACCTATCACAAATACGAAGCAACGAATGGGGAAAAACATCTAAAGAAGACTATAAATCTTATATATTATGACTGGTTAGTGTTCACAGTGCAATTGATGAATGCTTTCAGGTCTTTGAACTTCAAGTAGATGCCTCCCCGCACAATATCATCACATACAGTTACGAATTGCAATCAGTCCGGAACGGCGTAAGCAGGGCGGCTCCGGTTGCCTCGTTCTACCAGTGGTGTTGCGTAGAGATCAATTTCGAAAGAAAACATCTCGTGGTGGAAATGTCGTCCACGGCGACGGCTGACTGCGACGGGACTGATTGCGTGATGTCAGCTGTATACACAACTTTTACTTGAACCGATTACAGTGAGTTCACCACTCCCTAAACCACACCAACCCCTTTCCGAACATAACCTCTTTGCGAAGCCAAATCTAATTTAATGTGCCCGTTTTTTGCACCGGACCACTGGCTGAATGATCACTCCAGACGCCACTGCAATCCCCGCTCTGACAGCCACGCCCACTTTTGAGCACCATAATTTTTCAAACTTCATTTTATAACGTCTGCTTCTATAACCTTTCTGCACTTTTGCTATACACCTGCACATGCAGCCATCGTCCGGGGACTTGATTAGGGCTGCAAGGGTCTCGACGCGGCTGCGGCGCGTTACGACCGCGGCGTTCAGCAGTTTACAGTCTAATTTGACCATTTTCTCTCTAATTTTCATATTCTGTTCTTTCAAAGTTAGTTGTTTTATCGTCCTTATGAAGTATATTGGGGCGTGGAATTTTTTTCTGTTCATAATAGAGTGTATTTGCGGTTTTTTCAGGTCTTGGTTCGAGTGTCTACCTAACTGTTTAATTGTGCGCAAAAAACAGAGAAATCTTAGTCATGATTCACCTTGCGAAGGCAAGGAACAACTAATCTCGAGAAAAACAGCCATAACAGAGCAAACTATCAAGAAACTGTCTAAAATAGGCTGGAAACAGGTGGTCGCCGGCTCGTGACACGCCGCAGCCGCGTCGCGATCCTTGCCGCCCTAACCAAGTGCCCGGATGACGACTGTACACGCTAACAAGGGAGGTGTTTCAGGTCATGCCGCGCTTTTTGGAAATGGTTTGTTGCTTGTTGTAGGGGTCCATACAAGGGTCACAAAAATGGGTTTCATTTTTGCTATGCGTTTCTGGGTAGGTCAAAAACTGAGTGAAAAGAATTTGACAAGAATGGGCGGTTTTAACAACCTTAATGGGCTCCTTTCTGCTTGTAACTTCGAGCATGCATAGTTTATGAGGTGGTCACTGAATTAGGCCTCAAAATAGGTTCGATTAAAGTCAAAATGTAAGTATCATGTGGTAACACACTTGGCATGCACCGACGCAAGAGTGATGTTTTTGTCAGCAAACCCTTCACCACCACTGCAAACGGATCGGATGGCGCAGTGGATAACACGACGGGTTCTGGATGGCACGGCAAGGGGGCAAGTTTTGCATTTTTCAGCTTTCCATTCATTCGCGTGCCTGTGTGTCTGGCAGTAGAAATAAGTCAAGTATATGCCATTTGAAGGCATATACTTGTGGCCACATTGTGGCCAGAAAGCGTGCTTGTGCTGCCCCTCGTAGTTCA